CTGCTCTTCCCGTTATACCTTTTAGCTGTAAGGATGTAGGCATATTAGCTCTTTGTTATTTTGTATCCTGTGTACCTTTTCCCCACGTTAGCTTTATAGTAAACTTTTATATTTTAAAACACACCATGGACTCAGTCTCTTAATACTCTGCTGACTTACTCAAAAAGAACCCCAACAGGGAAGATGGTGGGAAGGGAAGGCAGGTGTGAGCTGTCCCGGAGAGCTTGGGGTGCCGCTCGTCACAGCTTGCAAGGGGGGCTCCTGGTCATGAGTCTTGTGGGCCTTTAAGCCTAAGTGTTGAAAAACCCGTAGGGTCAACCCGTGAAGATAGTTTCAGAGGAGAGCCGTGTTGCTCTGCAGTAGAAGAGCTCATAAGAACATCAGTCTCACACAGTGGCCAACCAGTTTCTCTGGAGGGCCAACAAGAGGGCACAGTGGCCGAGGCTTTCCCCTGATAAGAACATCAGAAGAGCCCTGCTGGATCAGACCAGTGAGGGTCCATCCAGTCTAGCACACAGTGGCCAGCCAGTTCCTCTGGAGGGCCAACAACAGGGCATAGAGTCTGAGGCCTTCCCCTGACGTTGTCTCCTGGTTCTGGGATTCAGAGGGTTAGTGCCTCTAAACGTGGCAGTTCCCTGCAGTCACCAGGGCTGGTAGCCATTGATAGACATGCTCCATGAATCTATCTAATCCCCCTTTAAAGCTATTTATTGTTGTGGCCACCACTACATTCTCTGGCACCGAATGCCGCATTTTAATCACTCTCTGTGTAAAGTAGTATTTCCTTTTGTCCGTCCGGAACCTACTGCCCATTAGCTTCATTGGATGCCCTGAAGTTCTTCAAAAAAGCTGTCTACATTTGGTGTCATTTTCAGACCTCAAGAGTGCTAGCATACTTTCACACATCCACATATGTTTATCGTCCTTTGTTGGGGCGGCTCCACTGTCATTGCACCTCTGCACTGCTTTAAAAGAATCTTCTCCAAACAATATTCAAACAAGCATAGAGAAAGATGGCGTCACAGCAGCCTGAAACTAATTTAAAAATGCAAATGCAGATTCGACCAGGGCCTCCCAGAGCATTAGGCCACCTCAATGGGAACGCGTATAGGGTGCTTCCTCGTTCCCACTAGCAGAATCCTCTTGTCCTATTCAAGGGATGGCACGCCCCCCTTCTTGCTACAAGTTTTCTCAGTAGGTCCGGCTCTCGGCTTCTAGGCTGCTTCCATCTGGCTGTGTTAACCTGGGCCGCTTTGTTTGCACACGTTTAACTTAGGACACCCACCCTTTACAGGATAGCACTGTTTTACGGGCTCCACGTTTCCCTTCTCTCTTGCAGGCCAATCGGCAGCGGAGTCGCACCATGGCCTTCCTGCGAGAAACATTTGCAAACGTCAATTGTCTCCTTACTCCAGGTACCTCCTGCAGTCGGTGGCGATTTTAACAGGCTGGGGGGGGGGGGGGTTTCACCGTGTGGATGTTCCGAGGCAAGGTTGGTCCCCGGCTCCCTGCCTGCAGACGTGCTCGTGAGCGAGAAAAGAGCTGGAGGGAAGGACCGCAAGAACTGCAGTTCCCTCTCCCAGTGTCTCAGCCCCGCTTGTACTGGAAGTGCTGGCCCAAACCAGATTTCCTGGCTGGGCGAGGACAGCTTCCCTATTGAATGCCCGCCTGGCTGCAGGCAGCCTCCTGAGCAGGTGCCGTGGAGTTGGCACACGGCTGGAACTCCTGACAGCTGTTCCGAAGAAGGAATCGCACAGGTTGGAAGAGCTGGGTCTGTTTAGCCTGGAGAGCAGATGACTGAGAGGTGATACGATAACCATCTTCAGGTACTTGAAGGGCTGTCATCTAGAGGATGGTGCGGAGTTGTTTTCTGTTTCCCCAGAAGGTCAGACCAGAACCAAGGGATTGAAGTTAAATCAGAAGAGATTTCGGCTAAACATTAGGAAGAACTTCCTGCCAGTTAAGAGCGGTTCCTCAGTGGAACAGGCTTCCTCGGGAGGTGGTGGGCTCTCCTTCCTTGGAGGTTTTCAAGCAGAGGCTAGATGGCCACCTGACAGCCCTGCTGATTGTGTGAACTGAGGCAGATCACAAAAAGGGAGGGCAGGAAGGGTTGCCTCAGTGCTTAGTTCTCGTGGCCCAGGGAAATGCTGATGGCCACTTTGGGGGTCAGGAAGCCATTTTTCTCCAGGCCAGTTTGGCTGGAGATCCTGTAGGGTTGTGGGTGTTTTTTTTTTTAAATGCTCTCTTCTGGACCTGGAGCAGGGGTCACTGGGTATTTGTGAATTTCCTGCATTATGCAGAGGGTTGGACTAGATGACCCTGGAGGGCCCTTCCTATTCTGTGATTCCCTTTGGGCATCAGGGCTGCCTCGACGTGGCTGTGTTTCCCAGTCCACAGCTGACTGTGTAGTGCCAGAGAGTGGCCGTGCCGGCCTGCGGTTAAAGGGCCAGGTTCAAGTCTGGGAGTAGCTTAGAGACCAGTAAGGTTTTGATGGCCTGAGCTTTTGAGAATCAGGCCTCCCTTCACCCGATATCTCTCGAAAGCTCCCACCCTGAGAATCGTGTTGGTCTCTGAGACACGGCTGGACCTGCATCTAATCCTAGAGACCGAGGGCCCTACGAGGAAAGGCTGAGGGACTTGGGAACGTTCGGTCTGGAGAAGAGGAGGTTGAGGGGGCACAGGATGGCTCTCTTCAAGTATCTGAAGGGCTGTGTCACTTAGAGGAGGGCAGGGAGCCGTTTTTCTCGGCACCAGAGGAGAGGACTCGCAAGAATGGGCTTAAATTAAGGGCGTGAAGGTACCGGCTGGATCTGAGGGAAACCTTTTCCACAGTAAGGGTTGTCTGAAAGTGGAATCAGCTGCCTGGGGAGGTGGCGAGCTCCCCCTCCCTGGCAGTCTTCAAGCAGCGGCTGGAGAAACACTCATCCGGGAGGCTCTCGGTTGATCCTGCATTGAGGAAGGGGTTGGACCGGATGGGCTCCGTGGACCCTTCCAGCCTTCTGATTCTAACTTGATAGCTGCCTCTCTTCTCTCTCCCTTTGTGGGAAAAGGACTGCTGGCCACTTGGCGGCACCTGGAGCACAGGTTGCTTTATTCAAGGCCCAAACAGATCCCCCCCCCCCTTTGCTGACAAATCGGTTGCCCTCTGAGGACTGCCTCGGTTTCTCAGGCAGGGGTCACAGACGTCTCGTGCCTCATTCTTCCCTGCCCCAGTCCATATGGAACCACCACGTTTCGAGCGGTGGCTGGCACCACGAGACGGCAGAATCCGGAATCCTGTGCAGAGAAATGCCAAGTGTGGCAAAGGTGGCCCAGGGAACGACATCCCAGGCGCTGCCTGGGTGGGACAGGCGGCACACGTGTCAAGTGGCACTTCTTCTTCTGTAGACCTCGGGGACAGGAAGTGAAAGACAAAGAGGTCGAGAGCCAGTTTGGTGTGGTGGCTAAGTGCGCGGACTCTGATCTGGGAGAACCGGGTTTGATCCCCCACTCCTCCACTTGCACCTGGCTGGATGACCTTGGGCAAGCCGTGGTTCTGATAAGAGCTGTTCTTGAAAAAAGGGCAGTTTCTCTCAGAACTCTCTCAGCCCCACCTACCTCACAGGGTGTCTGTTGTGGGGAGGGGAAGGGAAAGGCAGTTTTTAAGCCGCTCTGAGGCTCCTTCTGGCAGTGAACTTATATTCAATCTCTTCTTCTTCCTCCTCCACATTCAGCTCCCAGTGTGACCTTGAGTCAGTCACAAGTTCTCTCAAAGCTGTTCTCTCAGGAGCAGTTTCTCAGCCCCACCTACCTCACAGGGTGTCTGTTGTGGGGAGGGGAAGGGAAAGGAGTTTGTAAGCCGCTTTGAGACACCTTTGGGTAGTGAAGGGCGGGGTATAAATCCAATCTCTTCTTCTCTTCTTCTTCCTTAGTAACATATTTCTACCCCCCACCTTTCCCTTGCGGCTCCAGATGGCTTCCAGTTCTAAGTTCTCACCGTAACGGTGTAGCACTCAGAGTGCCAGGTAAAGTAAAGGTAAAGGTTCCCTTGCTCGAAAGCCAGTCGAATCCGACTCTAGGGTTGCGGTGCTCATCTCCATTCAAAGCTGAAGAGCCAGCGCTGTCCGAAGACATTTCTGTGGTCATGTAGCCGGCATGACTAAACACCAAGGCGCACGGAACGCTGTTACCTTCCCACCGAAGTGGTCCCTATTTATCTACTTGCAATTTCTTGCTTTTGAACTGCTAGGTTGGCAGGAGCTGGAACTAGAGACGGGAGCTCACTCCGTCATGCGGCACACTCGGGTCTCGAACTGCTGAACTACCGACCTTCCACAGCCTGCAGTTCAGCGTCTTATCCACCTGAGCCACCGCAGCTCCCAGAGTGCCAGACCCAGGTTCAAATCACCGCTTGTTGGGAAGCAAACTAGGCGATCCAAGGGCCGGTCTCTTTCTTTCCCAGCCTAACCCTACCCCACAGGGTTGTTGTGAGGGTAAAACGGAAGGGGGAAGATTGTGTGCCCGCACACAGAAGCTCATATCTTGAATAAAACTGAGTTGGTCCTCAAGGTGCCCCACTGGACGCGAAACTTTGTTCTCCTGCCTCAGACCAACATGGCCGACCCATCTGGATCATACAAAAAAAAAAAATAACGGCCCCCCCACACGCCTGCAGCTCAAACCTCATTTTAAGGAAGTTTACGGAGCCTCCCGAAAACTGAGCTGGCTTCTTCTTGCCGGTCTTCCAAATATCTGCAGGCTGCAAGATAACCTTGCATATAGCTTACGCTTTGTACGTTCGATATATTTTTGGAAAGGATTTGCCCAGTTGGGGTTTTTTTTAGCAGGTTAGTTGGAAATGGTGGCTAACCCCTGGGTGGGGGTGGGGTGGGTCACCGCACTCTGGAAGCAGCGCTTCCGGTTGGACGAGGAGATTCAGCGTTTGCTGAGGGATGAGAGCTCCCCATCCTCAGGAGGAGAGACTCAGACTTCTTCTCACGGCTTTTTTCTCTCTCATAAAAGGTACGGCGTGTCCAGCCCCAAGAATTCAGGACTCCGATCTCCAGACTGGGTGTAGCGATGCCCGGACTACCCTGCGCACCATGAGGTAAGAGCCAAGCGCCATGAAGCAAACGGCCCTTTGTGGGATACTGAGGAGGGGCACGTCAAGCCAAGCGCCTGAGAAGCCCCACCCTTCTGTGCTGAATCACCTAGATCAGGAGGTGTCAAACTCATTTGTTATGAGGGCCGGATCACTTTGTTGGGCCGGGCCATGCGTCCCATAAAACATAATGGCAGGTACCGGAGATATAAACTGTATAAAGGACAGTCGCACAAGAGCCCTGGATGGACCCTAACCGTTTTGAGCCTGGAGGTACCGCTGGAACTCTGAAACAACATAGCGGGTGCCACAAAATGGCTGTTGGAGGAGGGGCGGCCAGTCACAAAATGGCTGCCGCAGCTTACCTTCAGTTACTAACACAGCGAAGGCCCTCGTGTTGTTGTGGCAGCAGCTGCCCAAGCAAACTCTGCCAATCCAGTCAAATCTCCAGTGGCCAATAAGAAGCCTTCCTGGGCCAAAACCCCACCGACTTTCTAAGAGCACTTTGTGGGCACCACATTGGGGACCCCTGACCTAAAGGACGAGTTACCTGTTAGCCATGTGGGGGTCTTGTGTGCAAAAATTCTACTTTGTGAGCTACTGGCATTAAAGTTGTGAGCAATGCTCCCTGTCAGCTGTGGAGTCCTGTGAGCAAAAATTCCACGTTGTGAGCTACCAGTTGTGAGCGAGCGATTTGGCTGCTCCCCATCAGTTAGTTTGCTCTGGAGCCATTCCTTCCTGAGATAAGACAAAAATGTGTGAGCCGGAGGCTAAAGAACTGTGAGCTGGCTCACACCAACTCAGCTTAGAGGGAACACTGCCGGTTAGATGCCTGAAATGTCTGACGGGGCTGGGTTGCCTTTTGAAGGTGGAAATACCTTCTTCACAGTAACAGCTTCCTCAGCATTTGCTTCACTCCTGGCTTGCCTGACACCCGGTCCCAAGCAAACGTCTGGCGATCAGCTAAAAGGGAAAACCGGTCCTAGCCTGCACAGAGGGCCAAAGTTAGAACCGACTCTTCCTCCCTGCTTGATCTTCGCAGGTTCATGCAGCTGGCGAACTTGACGGGCATTCCAGCGCTGGTGGTGCCGGTGGGATACACCGCTTCAGGGCTCCCCATCAGCCTTCAGGTAAACCCAACCTTTTCCCGGGGTGACCTTTAGCTATTTCTCATGGGCTCTCCTCATCCAGGGAAGAGCAAGGTACTTGATTTTTGCCCTTGCTTGCCAGATCAGGTAGGAATAGCAGAAGTGCCCATTCCCTTCCATATTCATTCATGACTAGGGGTGTGCAAAAAAAAATAATTTGGGGGTGTCAGAAAAGAGGATGCCCCTCTCTGCTCTGTAGAGCCAGTTTGGTGTAGTGGTTAAGTGCACGGACTCTAATCTGGGAGAACCGGGTTTGATTCCCCACTCTTCCATTTAGCAGCTGCCGGATGACCTTGGACAAGGCATAGTTTTGACAAGAGCTGTCCTTGAAAGGGCAGTTCTGGAAAGAGCTCTCTCAGCCCCACCTACCTCACAGGGTGTCTGTTGTGGGGGGGGAAGGGAGTTTGTAAACCGCTCTGAGGCTCCGAGTGAAGGGCGGGGTATAAATCCAATCTCTTCTCCTCCTTCTTCTTCTGTATATGCCGGTGACCATGTATGGTACTCCAGGAAGTGTCAGGGAGAGGCTCCATTGGAGAAGAGGCCTCTTGTTATGTGGTTCCCTTCATTCTTACTCCTCGTAGCAAGTGGTGTCTTCTTTGCCAAAGGGCCTTTTGCATACGACACGTCGAGGAAGGGAGCAACATTGGAGATATGTGGATAAGCCGGACATCACATGGTACTGTTGAGACAGAAAACAGTACTGTTGGCTTCAGGCCCAGCATTATCTCAGCCCCTTGGCAAGTGCATGACGTGCCGGTTTGTGCAGGGAGGCACACTGGTGTGTGTGTGTGTGTGGCTCAGTGGCAGAGTATCTGCTTGGCATGCAGAGAGTCCCAGGTTCAATCCCCAGCATCTCCAGTTTAAGGGACCGGGCAGGAGGTGCTGTGAAAGACCTCTGCCTGAGACCCTGGAGAGCCGCTGCCAGTCTGAGTAGACAAGACTGACTGAGACGGACTGAGCGTCTGGTTCGGTATAAGGCTGATTCATGTGTGAAAGTTTCATCTGCTGCCTGAACCCTCCCCATGCAGTTGGGCTGACCTAGTGAACAGGTAGATCTCCGTGAAAAGCAAGTGGGAAGGCGCCCACACCACGCTTTGGGAGGGGGGCCGGTCTACAGAAGGAACCTTCAGGGTTTCCAGAAGCTTCTGGGGCCTTCCTCACACCCTGCATTTGTCTTTGACAGATCATGGCCAAGTGGTGGGACGAAGCTCTGCTGTTCCGGGTGGGCCTGAAGTTGGAGCGATTTCGTGACGTGACAGCAAGACCGGCTATTTATTATGACATACTTGGATGATGGGGCCGGCTCCGGGATTTCCAGTGGGGTGGTGTTTTATGGGGGTTCTTTTTTGGGGGGGAAGGGGGCTTGCTCATGTCAGGCAGTGAGCTAAAATGGTTCTCCCCCATCCCCTTCCCACAAAAATGTGCTTGGGAATTTCACTGCATCAGGAGCAAGGATTCATTTATGGTTTAGGTTTTGCTTCCTCTTATCTCTGATGGACTACTCGGTGCCCACCAAAGACAGTGCTCACTCTGGGGCAAACGAAAATTTCGCTTGGTTGGCGGGTATTGAACATTTTATGACGTTCAGCGGCGACAGTGTTTGTTGCACAAAGGGACGTGGAACACCTTAACAGGATTCTGCTCCTTGTTTGGTTTTGTTGGATTGTAGTGGGCTGTACCGCCAGACAGACAACACTGTTGTGTCTCTTGGCGACAAAATGGGGTATATTTTAAAAATATATATTGAAAAGTTACTGTTCACTGCTGTCAGCATTTAATTCTCCCGGATCAGGTGTCTGCAACCATTTTTTGAGCCCGGGGGAACCTTTGGAATTCTGTCACAACATAGCGGGCGCAGTCACAAAATGGCCGCCACACAAGTTACCTTCAGTCATGCAGTGAAGATCCGTGTGCTGTGGGGGCCCCTGCTGCTAAAACAACATTTTTAAAAATCGGCACAGCCGATTGGATCTCCATTGGCCAATTGTAATCCTTTGCTGGGCAAAAGCCCCACCTGCCCTACCTACTTCCTAAAACGGTAGATACCAATGGCGCCCACGGGAAACACATTGGGGACCTCTAGCCTAGATGAAAGAAGGTAAGTTTTGCCTCAAGGCCGGAGGTACAGTCTTAAAAAAAGAACCCATTTTGACATGAGGCCCAGCAGGTCTAGCTAGCAAGCGCGGGTTTTGACGCAAGTCTCTTTCCACCACAAATTGCTGAACTACTGGCCAGGAATCAGAGACACGAGTTGCAATGGATTGGATTTTTGTTAGCTGAGCTTTTTTTCATGAAGGTACCTGGGGTCAGAACAAAAGACCCAACGAGTTAGGAGCTTGAGATTAACCGCTTGTCATAGACATGCCTTTAAAGGTGAGAGCAGGGTTGTCAAACATAAGGCCCGGGGGCCAGAACTGGCCCATCCAGGGCTCTTATGCGGCCCACGAGCAACTAGTTCAAGGGAGGGAACAGGAGACTGGCTCAGGGTGGGGGGAGTGGGCGAAGCCACTCCAATTGTGGCTTCAGCATGACGGAACAACCTTGTCTGCAGCAGTCAAGCAGCGTGGGAGCGTCTGCCCAGTGCTGGACTGCTGACTCTCCAGTGCACCCATATGGGTTTTCCTTTGCACACACCCCTTCCTCCCAGCCCATGAGACCTTGCAGTGAGGATACACCAACTTGGAGCTTACCAGCTGCTGTCCTTTATACAGTTTATATATCCAGTACTTGGCATTACATTTTATGGCACACGTGGCCTGGCCCAATGGTGACATTTATGCCAGATCCGGCCCTCGTAAGAAATGAGTTCGACACCACTGGGCTAGTCAGAGCAGAGATGTTTGGAGATGCAGAGGAGAGCCAGTTTGGTGTAGCGGTTAAGAGTGGCGGACTCTAATCTGAAGGTTTGGTTCCCCACTCTTCCTCCACATGCAGCCAACTGGGTGACCTTGGGTCAGTCAAAGATCTCGGAGCTGTTCTTGAAAAAGAGCAGTTTCCTTCAGAGCTCTCTCAGCCCCACCTACCTCACAAGGTGTCTGTTGTGGGGAGGGGAAGGGAGTTTGTAAGCCGCTCTGAGGCTCCGAGTGAAGGGCGGGGTATAAATCCAACTCCTCTTCTTCTTGGTGAAGAAATCCCATGACACATACCAAATTATAGCTGGGGAATGGATCCGGAAGATCACGAGGAGGTGTCTTGCATACTGTGTCGGGGCTCCCGGAAGACGGTTGAAGCTACAAGTTGAAACTGGAGCAGGAGAGGAGGGGCTCTCATGAGAATGGCATTCAGCCCTTGTATTAAATTAGGTGCCACTAAATGAGGTCACCATCTGGGTGCCGAGGAAGCCACCCTTCACTTGAGAATGAGAATCGTTGACATAAATTATGACGGAGGGAAGTACCAGGTTTCTTTCGTAAGATGTCTCTGTTTCCTGCTACAAATTTCTAAGCAGGATTAAGTTTGGGTGTGCCACCAAAGGCTTCTTGTACATACACTGCAGCTCAGGTAGCTTGTAACACCAAGGATGTGTCAACAGATTTATCTCAAGCTGGGAACAAAAGGAACAAGGAGGTTCCCTGGAAGGAATATGTGGTTAGCTGCACTGTCAACATGATATCTGAGGCTATAAATGTCTCACCTCTTCTGATGGAAAGTTCTCCCCCGAATCCCTTCATGACCGGGACACCCAGACAGAAGAGGCCCCACACCAACCAACCGTAGCTTAACAGGGACTCCGTAAACCACTGGCCTTTGACTGCCGTCTCCCCTCACTGCAGTAGAATCCCATTGTTCAAAGCATCACAGAGGGATTTCTAGCCTCGTGGATTATGGGAGTATCTGACGCTGGAGTGTTACTGAAGCAAGCGTAGGCCTTATTCAGAGCCGGAATCAGTGAACAGTAGAAGTGGGGTAAGGATATGTTAGCAGCACTCTGGACAAACTGAAGATGTCTCAGTTGGCCATCAGTGATACCTTCGAGGCTCCCCCCCCCCCCCCAGAAGGGCTCACGGCCTCCCGGGGCCAGGCTGCTGTGGGCGACTGTGCTCGGGGAGGCAGCAAAACGGCTGCGCTGTGCCCTCTCCCAGCCAGGCTGCGGGCCCTTCTTTGGGGGGGGGGCACCTCCACCCGCTTTCCCTGCGCCACCCCTGGCCTCGCTGGCGTGCCCCAACTGAGCTTGGGGAGGCGGGTCACGGCCCCGCCACCCTTTCCTCAGCCGCCGCGGCCTGGACCACGCAGCCTGTGGGACGTTCTTGGGGTCAGCGGGTTCGGTGTCCGCTGGGCTTCCCTTGGCCGCCCCCAGGCCCCTGCTGCGTAGCTGGCCGCCCAACGACTGTGTGGGGCCTGGAGAGAGCCACGCCACGCTTCCCAGGGTCTTCCTAGGGCCCGTTTCCTTCACTTTGCAACGAGCTTTGCGCCTAGTAAATAAATAATGCACTCCAACTGGAATGACCACTCATTCGCTTTGAAGCTGTGTTCCTCGTGCCCACCCATGCTTGAGTCTGCCATAAAAGCAGTGGCATTGTCTGTCTTCTAAAAGGGGGGGGGGGTCTTGCCTTGGGACAGTCAAATGGCTCTTGGAGCCAGCATTTCTTGACCTACCTTTCAGGCCCTAAAGCCAGGATTTGCTGCCACAGCTCTCAGGAGCAGTCAAAAACTAGCTGCCACCCCCTCCCAGGGTCTGATCCTTTAAGGATGGAGGCGCTACTTTTTGGGATACCAGTGCAACTACTGATGCATGACGGGGGGGATTTTTTATGAACTCTTGTTACTGGAGAGTTGAAGGCGCAGAGGTGGTTGGCTACCCTTGCCTGTGCTGTGGGATGGCTCCATCTCCCTCGAGCCTGTCGTCAAAGAGTTCTGCCGGAGGTCTGACATCCCTCGGTGCTCCGGCCTGTGGGAATACTGTGGATGGATGCCCCTACGAATCTTGCAGAATCAGTGTCCAGCCTGCAGTACTGCCAGCACCTTAGGGAGAAGGCGCCAAAGGTCCTCCTAGTGGAGAAGCCCTAAACCAGTTTGGTGCAGTGGTTAAGAGCGGCAGACTCTAATCTGGAGAACCTGGTTTGAGTCCCCACTCCTCAAGCAGCCAGCTGGGTGACCTTGGGTCAGTCACAAGTACTCTCAGAGCTCTCTCAGCCCCACCTGCCTCACAGGCTGCCTGTTGTGGGGAGGGGAAAGGAAAGGAGATGGTAAGGCGCTCAAACTCCGAGTGAAGTGCAGGGTATAAATCCAACTTCTTCTTCATCTCTGAGATGCCCATCCAATGAGGACAATCGTAATGAATTCCCTAGGCTCAGGTCTACTGCCTCCTTGGAGAAATGAGGTAAACAAACAGCCTGTGAAGCAGCCTAAGATGCAGAACCCGATTAGTCTGTGGAACAGGCAGGAAGCCTGCTGAGTTAAGCGATTCTGCCTGGCAAAGCAAAAAATACTGCACATCCTTCATTCTCTTGCACAGAGGTGGGGGCCCGTACCTGGATATCTGGCACTCCAGTACTCAAAGACAGGTTTCTTTGCCTGGAGCAAGGGTCCCCAATGTGGTGCCCATGGGCAACATTAGCCTGCCAAGTGTTTTTAGAAAGTGGGTGGGGCCAAGTGGGGCCTTCTGATTGGCAGTGCAGATTTTTAAAAAGTCACTTTGGCAGCAGCTGCCAATGCAGCACAAGGATCTGGACGATGTAAACTGTGGCAGCCATTTTGTACCTGTGCCCACCAAATTATGTCAGAACTAGGAATAAGGCCTGTTGTGGAAATAAATACAACGAGCTACAGAAAGAGGCTCTGGGCAGGTGCCCTGGCTTTGGGCACTTGGCGTCAATTTGCTGTGGTGACCTCAGCAGGGTATAATGACACAGAGCTTACCGTTTTCTCCAGGGGAACTGATCTCTGCCATCTGAAGAGCAGTTGTAATTCTGAGTGAATTCCAGCCCTCCCCTGGAGATTGGCAACAACAGTTCCCCAGGAGAAAATGGCTGGTTTGGAGGGTGGCGTCTATGGCATTGTACTTGTCTGAGGTTCCATCCCTCCTCAAACCCCACCTTCTCCAGGATCCACTCCTCAAATCTCCAGGGATTTCCCAACCTGGAGGTGGCAACGCTTTCTCCTTCCCAGCCAACCATCAACATACCGTTATCTGCCCTTCTGACTTCAGCTTTCCAACTCCTTCCCCCTCCCTGCAGCCTCTACCTAGGAAAAGTAGTCTTTCTCATCCTCATTCCGGAACCAAGCAGGAGGGGAAGTGACCTCAGCAGAGTATAATGACACAGAGTATAATGACACAAAGCAGCCGTTTTCTCCAGGGAAACTGAGCTCTGCCATCTGGAGAGCAGTTGTAATTCTGAGTGATCTCCAGCCCTCACCTGGAGAATGGCAGCAATGGTTCCCCAGGAGGAAATGGCTGGTTTGGAGGGTGGACTCTATGGCATTCTATTCAGCTGAGGCCTCTCCCCTCTCCAAACTCTGCCTTCCGTAAACTCCACCACAAAATATCCAGGAATTTCCCAGGCTGGAGTTGGCAACCATAGTCAGGACTGGCCTCAATGTGTTTCCCACAAAGGCCAAAGTAGACCTGGAAAGGGCTTCCTCCTCCCTGCCTTTTTACTGACAGAGCCAAGCTTCGTTGCCTAGCAACAGCTACTGAGGGAAAAGTTAGCACCACAGCAGGAGCCAAGCAGAAATAGAAGCGTCTTCATCAGGAGAGACAGCCGTTTTGGCAGTTTATTCTGTCAGGGAAGAATGTCCAGGCTGGCAATGGGTAGGGGAGAGGAGCGGACACAGCCAATGGCACGCAAGTACTCTTGAGTGGCAGTTGATGGGCCAATGGCTGATGGAGCGCACAGCATAGCCAATGGAAGAGCTGGAAAGTGCCAATACGTAGGGCAATAGGATTGCAGTGGTCCCCACAGACTGAAAAAGTTTGAAATGCCTGGCCTGGAGAATTAGTTCCTGCATTCTGTAGCAGAGAGGGGGAGACCAGGGAGCTCATCTTGTGCATTTAAAGCAGATGGAGTAACCACACATACAGGGCTCTTGCTTCACATAGATATATGTAGATAATGCAGTATATACACAATGATTTCTCGATATAAAATAACACCTTGTTTATAAAGCGACATATAATTGCCACTTGGCCCTTTCCCACCCCACAAAAAAAACAGTAGTATACAAAATATAAAACATTTTCTTAAATATTTATAAACAATTGCAAGGAGAAAAAAAATAGAACTGTATGAAAATAGCCTTCCCGTCCCTCCAATGATTAATGGGCCTTTAGCCCGTAGCTGTTGAGAGGATACGAATACGCCCTGCCCAATACTATCCGGTCCCGCAAGAGTTTAAATAAGACATAATAGTTGCAGAATAGGATCAGGGCCATGGAGAGCGTGTGGTTCCACTTCTCTGAGCGCAAGAGGGAGTAGAGCTGGTAGCAGACCACGCTGCCCTCGATGAGGATGAGCAGATTCAGGAGCCGTAACGGCCGGTGGAACAGGAACTGTGGAGGAAAGACAGAATCTTTGGTTCAGCTGGGAACAGGCTGGTAGCTACGGTGGGGCTTTTGGGGGCTTCGCCCCCTTTCTGAAAGACACAGCCCCACAAGAATTTCTCCTGTAAATGCTTTTTTCAATCATTTTAAAACATTTTTTTTAAAGGCATGTGCTCCTTTAAGCAGAGTGGGGTGCTGTAGCGGACTAATTCCTGCACTGAGCAAGGGGGTTGGAGTAGGTGACCTCTAGGATCCCTTCTATCTCTGGTTCAAGGAACTGGTCTCCCTTAAGAGAGTTTTTCTGCCTAAGTGTTAACTTTATTGACTATAAAAGTCATCGCCCCTACCTGCTGGTTTGTTATCAGAATTGTTGCTTAGGCTGGCAGAAGTGATTAACTTGCGGCAGCTGAGAACTGTCATGTAAAGTGGTTGACAGCTTGCAATTTAGAGATCTAGCCTGGTAACAGCTTTCTATTGACTAAATGGTTCATAGGCTAAGGGTGATTGCTAGCACAAGAACAGCTATGTAGAGTAGACAGCTTGGGAAGACGAGAGAGAGAGTGGGAGAGAGAGAGAAGAGTAGCTGAGTTACAAACCTCAGAATTCTGGCCTTTTATTCTGCACCGAGGACTTCAACCACCAGAAAAAACTTTGCCCCACAAGCCACAAAATCCTGGCTATGGGCATGGCCGAGGAGGGGGCTCTTCCGCATGGAGAGTGACAATGGAAACTGTGAGCCAGTGCCCGTCCATCCAAAAACGACAGGCAAGATCATAGCCCGTCCCACCACCCAGCTGAGCAAGGTTATTCACTCAAATCTGTATGCCCCACCCTCCTTCTCTTTTGGCTCAAGTGTGAAGCTTCCCTCCAGTCTAAGGAGCCTTCCTCCTCCTTCAGTGGCTCTTCCGCTGGAGGAAGGCTGGATCCATCCTCGTGCCCTCTTCCTTAGGAAGAAGAGAATTAAATCGAAATAACTTCCGTGTGCAACGAATTCTAAATGGGGGGAGGGGGAGAAGGGGAAGAGTCAGACTGATCAAAAATCCTCAGCCAGGCATGACCATGAGTGAATTTCAGAGGAGACCAAGATTCCCGGCACGGGAACTGCCACCAAGAGCGTTTCTCTGCATGCCCTTGCCACGCTAGCGAAGACCAGGGCACAGACACTCCCCAAGAAAGGGGTTGTCTCGACCAGGAGGCCTTGAAAGGTCTTAAGACGACAGCGCTCGCCCAGAAAAGCTGGAGGCAGCAACTTGTAGGGTGCAGAACACGTGGGACAACTGGAGCGGGGGAAAGTGGGTTCCAGTCCCCACCTGGCCATCCAGCTGCTTGCGTGTGACCTTCACCGCTTCGGTTTCTCTCTCCACTTAGCCTCCTCTGCAGAGCTCTGAACTCCTTAGAGCAGAGGTTCCCCCCCCCCCCAAGATGGTGCCTGCTGAGGGTTTCTAGAAAGTGGGCAGGGCCAGGTAGGGCTTTTGCCCAGCAAGGCTTCTGATTGGCCACTGGAGATTTGATTTGCTCTGTCAAAAAATGTCGTTTTGGTAGCAGCAGCCGCCACAGCACAAGGGTCTTCACCGTGTGACTGAAGGTGAGCTGCGTCAGCCAATCTTTGGCCACGCCCACCACACCGCATCAGAATTCTAAAAGTACCCACGGGCTAAAAAAGGTTGGAGAGTGAACCCAGGTGGACTGGAAACAAAAGGAAGATAATTGGGCAAATCTACATTTCGGGAGCCATGAGGCGGATAAAGGCAGAGGGGCTCCTTGGCTTTCCGTACATTTTCAAGCCGACTTCAAGAGCCCTCTAAAAATGACAATGTACAGGAGCCTGAAGTCTAAGCCAATTCTAGAGGTCGTGTTTATGTAGCACGATACACCCAACTGCATTTTTAAAACTTCCGTGTTACAGCCCCCGCCAAAGCCCACTTCACTAGCCGAGGATTATCCTAGAGAGAGATCCTGAACGTCTGTGATCACGAGAGGGGAAATCCAGAACAGGCCAAGCGATTCCCGGCTTTTATTCAGAGGATGAGCCCATTCCCACTCAAGAATCACAACTACAGTTACGCAGCGGAAACACGTTTGCGTTCTTCTTTATCCTCTAAGCAGCCATGTTGCATTCCAAGAGTAACAGGCAGCTTCTATGTACGTCCCCGATATGTACAGAGTAAAAGCAACGGCCTGCTTTTAGGCATAAATTGGGTGGAAGAAGACTACTAAATAGCTGCAGCTGTGCCAGAGGGGGAGAAAAGGAGCCAGGGGGACGTGACTGGAGGGAGGGAAATGAACAAACACAATCCAACCTAGTTGAGACGTGTCGAACTCCCGGGGCCCAACTGCTCCCCCATCCGGGTGCGGTACTTACATAGAAGCGGGCGTGGGAGACATCGGAAGGCACTGCTACATTGTAAGGCCCGACTGCTTTGTACAGACACCGGCTGTGCCGCACCAGCACCCCCTGGGGCCATATTGTGCTCTCAGACCAGCTGTGGAGGAAGGGGGGGGGAAGCAGAAGAAGAAGAGATTGGATTTATACCCCGCCCTTCACTCAGAATCTCAGAGTGGGTTACAAACCCCGTTCCCTTCCCCTCCCCACAACAGACACCCTGTGAGGTAGGTGGGGCTGAGAGAGCTCTGTGAGAACTATCCTTGAGAGAACAGCTCTGATAGAACTTGTGACTGACTCAAGGTCACACCATCAGCTGCAGGTGGAGGAGTGGGGAATCAAACCCAGTTCTCCCGGATTAGAGTATGTGCACTTAACCACTGCACCAAACTGGCTCTCAACTGGACAAAGTTTTGCCCAGCCCACCAGTGGAGATCTGCCCCATGAGGCCTGCTCTCCGTGCCACTGGCCTCCAGAGGGGAGGGGAGGCGATCGGCGACCAGAGGCACCGCCTTTTCAGTGGTGGCACCTCACCAATCTCCGTGAGGCCAGCCTGGCATGTTCTGTACTTTCTTTTAAGCATCAGGGCAAATGGTTTTTCTTCACCCAGGCTTTTAACTAAGGGGCTAATCTCTAAAAAAAAAATCATTCAGAAAATGGTCTACAGTTAGAAAGTGTAGAAAAGAGCAAGAGTCCAGGAGCACCTTAAGGACGAACAAAAACTTCTGGCAGGGGATGAGCTTTCGTGATGAGCAGTGTTCCCTCTAAGCTGAGTTAGAGTGAGCTAGCTCAGTTTTTTAGCCTCCGGCTCACACATTTTTGTCTTAGCTCATGAAGGAGGGCTCCAGAGTAACCTAATTTATGCAGTAGCCAAGTCGCTCGCTCACAACTTTGATGCCAGTCGCTCACAAAGTGGAATTTTTGCTCACAAGACTCCACGGCTTAGAGGGAACATTGTTCGTGAGTTATCACTGCTCACGGTTCTTCAGTCAGAAGAAGCGAGCAGTGAGTCATGACAGCGCCTCCCCTGCCACGTATTCTGTTAGTCTTGAAGGCGCTCCTGGTCTCTTGCTCTTTTCTACTGCTATGGACAGACTAACCCAGCTACCCATCTTAGTCAGAAAATGGTTACATTTGTTTTAGGCAGCTCAATTATTTCTTTTTAAATCCATTCTCTGGCTGGGGTTTAATTTGTGATTTGAGTCCAGTGGCAGCTTAGAGACCCGCAAAAATTCGGGGGACGAGGTTTCGTGAGTCAAAGCCCGGGGGTCTCTGACAAAAGGGACTTCTGATTCTCAAAAGCTCATGCCCCGACATGAAATTCTCGTTGGTCTCGCCGAAATGCTACGAAACTCAAATCTCACGGCTCTACTGCAAACCGACACAGCTCCCCACCTGAAACTATTATTACAGAGGATGACTCAAGGAGAACATGCGTCTGCCCATAAGAGAACAGTGTGAGATCCAGGGCTTTTTTTTTTTTTTTTTTGAAAAAGAGATGCTGGAACTCCCAAGAGGAAACAAAGTTTTCAGTCTGTATACTGAAAACTTACGAACTTTTAAACATTTTAAAAAGAACTTTGTTGAAGAGGTTCTGGAAGTCCGTTCCGGCACGTTTCCCCAGAGGGAAAAAAAAGCCCTGCCAAGATTGCACCTTTTGGGGAAACAATGCTAGAGACACACAGCGTATACATCTCCCCTCCCCACTCCCCGAACCCACCGGGGAATGGTCAGTTCTCCTGCCTTTCCCTCCCAGAGGCCCGAAGATGAGGCAAGGACCCTCCAGTACCCAGCAATAAACTGCTTGGCTGCACTGTCTCCACACAGGGCATCGGGTTGCCCTCAAACGAGCAGCAAAGCCGGACTTCTGCTGTTATTGTTGTCACATTTCCCCATCTCCAATAAATGCCAAAATTGGCCTTCCTTCCCCAGTAGCAATAAAGAATGGGGATGTGATAACAGATTGAAGGACAGCTAGGATCAGGGGTCATTTCCTGCAGGAGTGCACTGGAGCGGAGCTCCGGCAGTAAAGAGCCCAGGGGGCGGGCACATGCAACAAGCCCCGCTCTCCCCTGCTCCCAGCAGCCCTCAGTCAGAGCAAGAAGCGCCAGGTAAGTTGCAGAGCCCCCCCTCAGGTCCAATACAGTCTAGCGGCACCTTTAAGACCAAGTTTTATTCAGGTACAAGCTCTCCCTCCTCTGCGAGGACAGATCTACACGCCCCCCCCCCCTAGCTAGCAATCCAAAACAGTCCAGTGGAGCCTGACCAGTGGTTGTTGCCTTCTGACACACTTCCGGTGATGTCAGGGGGTGTGGCATATGCAAATGAGATATGCTAATGAGCTCCTGCACCTCTTTTTCTACGAAATGACCCCTGGCTAGGATCGAGCCCGGTAGCACCTTAGGGACCAGTAAGACTTTGGGGAATAGATCAAGAGGGGCAGCCGTGTTAGTCTGTCTGTAGCGGTAGAAAAGAGCAAGACTCCAGTAGTGCCTTAAGGACTAATAAAATTTCTGAGCAGTGACTCATAAAAGCTCCTGTCCCGCCACAAATTTTGCTAGTCCTTAAGGTGCTCCTGGCCTCTTGCTCTTTCCTATCTTTTGTTCTTATCTATCCATCCATCATCCAGAAGGGTAGCCACGTTAGTCTGTAGCAGTAGAAAAGATCACACTTTTTGAGGAAACAAGGCCAGAGATACGCAGCGGATACATCTCCCCTCCCTAACACCCCCCCCCCCAAACCCCTGGCAAAGAGGGCTCCGCGCTTACACTCACATGTGCTGGGGGGCATTGCTGTACGAGCCGTGCTCCAGCTTCTGCCACTTGCCCAGGTGGGCGGCCGATCTGTGCAGCAGGTCGCAGTACTTGGGAGGGAGCAGCTGCGTGGTGAGCATGACAAAGGCGTTGATCCACACCATGATCAGGTGCTCGCAGGACCAGCGCATGTCGTAGTACTGGGTGCTCTGCAAGGAACCAGAGAGGGGGCTTAGTGGCGGCGGCAACAACACCCGAGGGAGACGCAGGGCAGAACAGAGAGCGCCCCACAGACGGATCTTGGTGCAGCCGCCTATGAACTAACTGCAAGGCCGGTCCAGACGTGGGGGGGCCTGAGGCACGGGGGGGGGGGGGGTGCTGTGCTGCAGGGAACCTCTGCACGTCTTCCTCCTTCAGCAGCTAACCCCCCAAGCTACCGGGCTCTTGTGAACATGCGTGCCCCCAGAGATACTGGTGTGGCAGGCCTAAGGAAGAGCTTGTCGTCCTGCAAAAGAGTAGACTAGACAGGTGGGGAAGAGTTTGGATTTATACCCCAGAAGAGGAGATTGGATTTATACTCCACCCTTCACTACCCGGAGGAGTCTCAGAGTGGCTCACAAACTCCTTTCCCTCCCCCTCCCCACAACAGACACCCTGTGAGGTAGGTGGGGCTGAGAGAGCTCTCTCGAGAACTGCCCTTGAGAGGCAGATCTGAGAGAACTTCTAACTTACCCAAGGTCACCCCAGCAGCTACATGTGGAGGAGTGGGGAATCAAACCCGGTTCTCCCAGATTAGAGTCCGCGCTCCTAACCTTTACACCAAACTGGCTGTAGGCCCTCTGTTAAACACAGTTTAGAAAGAGACTTCACTTGAATATCCGAACCATTCCCATTCTCTAAATCGATTTGGAGCTTTAGCACTGAAAGCACCCCCCGCCCCCCGAAGTCTCTGGCAAACCAGGATCTGACCTCGGCACAAAGAGAGACCTGATCTAGTTGTCTGGGGAAAAGGGGCAGGGTGAGTTGACGGGACAGAAGGAGGAGTGGTTCGGGGTGGGGCGGGGGAGCCACGGGGCCACTATGTGTATGGCAATACCTATCCACCAACCGGACGCAGCCACGCTCCGCCATCCGGGCTGCCAAAGGGGAGATAGAGAAAAGGGGGATTAACCAGAAATCCAGTGTGCCAACAATCCACAGGCCAAATTTAGGAGGAGGAGGAGGAGGCGGCGGCAGCGGTGGCAGAGAAGCCAGACAACAGCTACCTTCACAAAGCACAGCGGCAGGAAGGCCACGTAGTAGGCACTGAAGAGGGAATTGAAGAGAACCTCCTTGATCCGGCGGTTGAAGATGGCCTTCAGACACTCCACCTCGTTGCGGATGAGGTCGGGGGACAAGGGGCAGCTGTGTGTCGGGACGGGCAGGGGGTATTTGAACTGTTCTTTCAGGGACTCCCGCAGGAGGGAGAGAAAGTCTCTGGGCCTGACGAGGCCGCTGACCCCCGAGACGCCCGCGTCCACCAGCTGGTCCTCCACCAAATAGTCACAGTCCGGAGGAAGAGGCTGCGTCCTGCTCTCCTGGTGGAAGCAGCACAGTGGGACGTAGACGCCGAACCTGCGAGGAGGGGGGGGGGCGAACAAGAGACCGGACGTGAGACCGAGTCCCACCTGGGAATTGAGAAAAAGGCCTCTGAAGGGAGCTCTCTAGATGTCCGCCAGATCTCTTTATGCTCAAACGGTTCCTGCTGCGCTGCTTCTGGGGCTTCCAGGGCCACGCAGGCAGGCCGAAGCGAGGAGGAGTCTGACAGACCAGTGGGATCTCCCCTGCTGGCTGGATATCTCCTTTCCTAGCGCCTATTCACTGGGGTGCTTCCCAACAACCCTTCACCCACATGACTGTCTATATCGGGGGACCCCAACATGGTGCCCACCGAGTGTTGTCAGGAAGTGGGCGGAGTCAGGCGGGGCTTTTGCCCAGCAAGGCCTCTGACTGGCCACTGGAGATCTGATGGGCTGTGCAGATTTTTTAAAAGTTGCAGCAGGGGGTGGTGTGCGCCCCTCTCCCTCCCCTCCTGCAAGATTTAAAGGGCCCTTCAGCTGATCGGCAGGGAACACGTGGCCACCCCCGCCCCTTCGTTATGGCAAATAATGGCAGCCCCACCAGAAAAACTTTTGCCCCACGAGCCACAAAATCCTGCTTCACTGTGTGATTGAGCGGAGGCTGCGGCAGCCCTTTTGTGGCTGGCTCCACCCCCTGCGGCAGCCATTTTGTAGCTGCGCTCACAGGCTCAAAAAGTGTGGGGGGCCCTGGCCTATGTCTTGCATTAAAGAAGAAGAAGAAGGAGAAGGAGATATTGGGTTTATACCAATGTTCCCTCTAAGCTGTGGAGTCTGGTGAGCAAAAATTCTGCTTTGTGAGCTACCAGCAGTAAAGTTGTGAGGAAGCGATTTGGCTACTGTATAAATTAGTTTGCTCTGGAGCCATCCCTTCCTGAGCGAAGGCGAAAATCTGTGGGCCAGAGGCTAAAAAACTATGAGCTGGCTCACCCTAACTCAGCTTAGAGGGAACACTGGTTTATACCCCACCCTTCACTACCCAAAGGAGTCTCAGAGCGGCTTACAGACTCCTTTCCCTTCCCCTCCCCACAACAGACATCCTGTGAGGTGGGTGGGGGTGAGAGAGCTCTTGACAGAACTGTCCTTGAGAGAACAGCTCTGATAGAACTATGGCTTGCCCAAGGTCATCCAGCAGGTGCAAGCGGAGGAGTGGGGAATCAAACCCGGTTCTCCCAGATTAGAGTCCGCGCACTTAACCACGACACCAAACTGGCTCTCCATCCACCAAAGTGGATGGATGGGGCACCTCCACACCCACACAACTAAAAAAAGGTGCTGGACTGCCACACTGGATGAGGAAAACCAAGGTCCTACTTGAGTGGTGGTTTACGGCTGCGTCTCCTCCGGCCGGCTGTGTTGCTCCGCAGGATTCCTCTTGGCTGCAGCGGGCGCTTCCGGAGGCTCTCAGGCCCGCCCCTTCCCCTGACACAGACGGTGAGGGAGGGAGTGGTACTTACGGGTAGCCGAGGAAGAGGAGGTTGAGGACAGAGTGGCTGCGGAAGAGGTTGACCAGCGTCCAGCAGAGCACCCAGCCATACAGGGTGAGGAGCACCAGGCGGGCCAGAACCAGCGCCCGGCAGTGGATCACGGACGTCCCCCCCACTTGCGAGGCCTGCAAATTCAGACCCACCGGAGAATGGTCAGTCTTTCCGGCTTCCCTCCCTTCCTCCCAGAGGCCCAAAGATGAGGCAAGGACCCTCCAGTTCCCAGCAAGAAACTGCTCTCAGCTGCCCTGTCTCCACACAGGATGTCGGGTTGCCCTCAAACGAGAGGCAAAGCTGGACTTCTGCTGCTATTGTTGTCACATTTCACGCTGGAAGGGCGAGCGAACTCCGTGCCACCTCCAATTAAATGCCAAGATTGGCCTTCCTTCCCCAGTAGCAATAAAGAATGGGGATGTGATAACAGATTGAAGGACAGCGAGGACTGAGCCCGGTAGCACCTTAGGGACCAGTAAGACTTTGGGGAATAGATCAAGAGGGGCAGCCGTGTTCGTCTGTCTGTAGCAGTAGAAAAGAGCAAGACTCCAGTAGTGCCACAAAGTCTAACCACATCTGTGGCAGGGAAGGAGCTTTTGTGAGTCACGGCTCACTTCTGTAAAATTTCTGGAAATTTTGAAGCGCGGAAAAACCCGTTTCCCCCCCAGTTTTTTTCCGGAAAAAATGGGAAATGTTCGGAAAAATTGAAAAAAAAATTGCTACATTAGCACTTTTTTCTTTTCCAGATTGAAAGTCATTCTGTTACTTTAAAAACATAAAAGTATGACTATGGACATTTTTACTTGGCATGAAATTATCAAAACTAGCATATTAAAAATATAGTGTATCCAAACAATTATTACAAATAGAATACCCACCCATATGGAGAAAAAAACACACCCTGAAACCTTTTTCTTTTCTTGTGACAATAGCACCTCCTAAAGGAAGAAATGCATCTTGTTCTTGCATTGGAGAGTTCAGTTTGTGTCCTAGGACTTGCTTGTCCTCAGTGCACAGAAATTAGATCAATCTGATACCATACATATTTTTTAGAAATGATATGGAAAATATCTGAACACCTTATCTTAAAATATTTTATTCATCATGTTAAAATAAAATGTTCCATAATCTTTTCTTTTCCTTTTTCAATTTTTCCAATTTTGGGGGGGAAAAAACAAAAAAGGCTTCAGGAAAAAAACAAACGGTTTTTTCCTGAATTTTTCCGGGCCTTCACATCTCTACTTCTGAGCAGTGACTCATAAATGTGCCAAAATTTTGTTAGTCCTCAAGGTGCTGCTGGACTCTTGCTCTTTCCTATCTTTTGTTCTTATCTATCTACCCATCCATCATCTACCTGTCATCTAGAAGGGTGGCCGTGTGAGTCTGTTATTGCAGCAGAAAAGAGCTAGAGTCCAGCGGCACCTTCAAGACTAAGTACATTGGTGGCCGGGGAGGAGCTTCCGTGCGCCACCGCTCACTTCTTCAGATGCAGCCAGAATGGGAGTCGCTCTGTCCTGACATCTTGGAGAGTGGTTTCAGATGCCGAATGACAACAGCGGGCATGATTAGATTAGGCGTGATTAAAGATGTGAAGGCCCGGAAAAAACTCGGAAAAATTCAGAAAAAAAACGTTTTTTTTCCTGAAGCCTTTTTTGTGTTTTCCCGAAAAATTGGAAAAATTGAAAAAAGAAAAGAAAAAAATTGATTATGGAACGTTTCATTTTAACATAATGAATAAAATATTTTAAGACAAGGTGTTCAAATATTTTCCAAATCATTTCTAAGATATATATATGGTATCAGATTGATCTAATTTCTGTGCACTGAGGACAAGCAAGTCCTAGGTTACCAACTGAACTCTCCCATGCAAGAACAAGATGCATTTCTTCATTTAAGAGGTGCTATTGTCACGAGAAAAGAAAAAAGGTTTCAGTTTTGTTTTTGCATGTGTGTGGGTATTCTGTTTGTAATAACTGTTTGGATACACTATATTTTTAATATGCTAGTTGTGATAATTTCATGCCAAGTAAAAATGTCCGTAGTCATATTTTATGTTCCTAAAGTAACAGAATGACTTTCAATCTGGAAAAGACAAAAGAAGTGCTAATGTAGCATTTTTTTCAAATTTTCCAAAAATTTCCGGTTTCCCCCGAAAAAAACACGGGTTTTTTCCCGAGCTTCAAAATTTCCAGAAATTTTACATCTCTAGGTGTGATGTTGTCATTTGCCTCCTATTGCCACTTGGCCTCTGAAATCACTCCCCTCTCCAAGATGTCAGGACAGATGGATTTATTCATTTAAAACGATTTGGTGGCCAAACTGCTCACAAAACTTCACAAAATAATTACAGTGCCAAAATATAGCAAAGCTACAATACATTGGCCTGGACCGATCAGGTTTTCTTTATTAAAATGTCCCGTCTTAGTTCAGCCAGAGCCTTAGCCCTAAAAACCCCCGCCTCCCTGCCGCCCCTTTTCCTAAGTGACCTGGCAGCCCACAGCCCCATCTGCATCAGCACTGCCGGCCCCACCTAAGCCGGAGGGTGAGAAGGTCACGAACCAGGCACTGCAAGAAAGGCCAGCTACAGGGCACGCACACACTCCCGTCCATTCTGGGAAGGCAGCGGGGCTCATTCAGATTCTCTTTGGGATCAAAACTATTCATCTGGACTGACAGAACGCCCGAAAGGATTACCTCAGAGACGAGGGCCCAAACCAGCCTCCGCGCCAGCATCACCGTGATGAATGCCGCCAGGTGGTAGTCGATGAGGTGGAAGTTCTAAAGGGGGGAAAGGAGAAGAGGTGCTTTTTCCCCCACCAGGGCAAGAGAGGAGCTGCCAAACAGACGCAGGGAAACGCCTACCGGGTGGGACGGGGGGAACCAGGAGTCATCGAAGCATCCCCATGTCTGCCAGGGAAGTGGGGACGAGAAGTACACGTATTAAGCACCTGGGAGCACCAGGGGGGAGTATGTGATCAAAACACCATTTGGCAGCAAATGCTACTTTAGAAAATCTAGAAAGGTGTTTATTTCTTCAGCATTATTTGAATCCATACTTCCCGTCCGCTCCTTGCAGAACATCCCTTCTCTGAAAAAGGAACAGGCACATCTCTCCACGACAGGTCTTTCTTTGTCTCCCCCGAGAACAGCACGTCGTGGTTTGACCCATGTTGTTCTGGAGGATCAGGACCGTGGCTCTCACTCTGCCCCCCGCCCCCATCAGCAAACATTTTGTACGGGGACAAACGAGTACAGGAGCGCTGGCTCGATCGTTTGCACAGGGGGTCAAAGGGCATCACGCTTGGAGTTTATGTGCCCTGTAAACCAAATTGCACTGAAAACAGACCATCAAACGTGATATAGCTCTCTATTAAACACTTTCCAACAGGAATTATACAACACAATAACTTCTCACCAGTGATGTGCAGGAGGCAGGGTGGTTGTACGGGTACCACCAGACGGTCTTGTAGATATTGATATACTGAATAAAAAGGGCCACCAGCAAGTAGATGAAGAAGAGGAACTCGAAGAGAAGGTTCCCGTCCACGGGCAGCTCGGGGATTCGGCAATGGCGCACCGGCTCCGGGGTGATCAAGGCAGTGATGGGAGGGGCAGACAGGCTAATTGTGCTGCCATTCCTGAAACGGAGATTCAACGGTTAACTTTGGGGGGCTGGCGCTGAGGGGCGTTTCGTGCTGTTCTTATTCAACGTATCACATCTAGCATTTACACGGGGCATTGGAATGTTTCAACTGCTTCATGAATGTTATCTCAATTGGTCTTTACAATAACCCTGTAAGGTAGGTTGGTTGCACATACAGAGATTATGCTGAGCAACAGTGTGTGTGTGTGTGGGGGGGGGGTGTCACCCAACAGGCCTGCGGCAAAGCTGAGATCTGAACCAGGTACTTTTGAATTCACGGCTGAGCCACTGCACCACGCAAGGAAGGAAGGAAGGATGGAAGGAAGGAAGGGTTTGCATCTCAGCACATGGCAACTCTGGTGTCAACCACAAACTAAGTATTCAAAAATACTTAGACAGAAGAGAACCCCTCACTTCTGCAGGAGTATACCACATACCATGCAGTTGTGGACAGGTTTACATTGGGACAACACAGCATAGCATTCAGATAAGAATAAAAGAAGATGAAAGACACTGCAGACTGGGCCAACCTGAAAAAGTAGCAGTGGCTGAATATAGCCTAACTCAAACAGGACACAGTATCTTCTTACAAGACACTGAAAGGCTGGACAACACATCCAATTGCCATGTCAGATGACACAGGGAAGCCACTGAAATTCATAAACATAAACACAATTTCAACAGGAAAGAAGAGAGTTTAACAATAAGTAGGACATGGTTTCCTGTCCTGAAAAACACAAAATGCTCTAAATCTTACAACAGCACTACAGATAAGATTAGAATTTCAACAGCCAATTCATCTGCAAAAGAACCTCCTCAGGAAAGCTCCTCCATTAGCATGTCACAGCCTGGGGAACTCCTACAAGATAACGTCTCAGCCCTACCCCACCTTCCTGAGTAGATATAAATTACCTGCCTACCATTTTTCTTCTCACCTTGACACAGAGAGCACTCTCATCTTTCTGTGCTATACCTCTGAGGATGCCAGTCACAGCTGCTGGCAAAACGTCAGGTCCTACAATGCCAAGACCACAGCCACACAGCCCGGAAAAACTACAATGACTAATCTATACAAAGATCACCCAAGAAGAAAGTGTTAAGAGCTTGTTGGGGGGGATGGGGAGACAGCTTAGTATTTAGGCCCTCCTGGTCTGGAAGGAGTGAAAGCCGTAAGGTTATACAACCCGGTTCTCTGAGAGCATCATGGCTGGTCCCAATTCGCTCTGGGAGGGTGGCACTCTCCACCAATTCCACAGCAGGACACTCACACACTCTCTCTCTCTCTCTCTCTCTCTCTCTCTCTCTCTCTCTCTCTCTCTCTCTCTCTCAAAGATTAGCATTTTTTGCCTTGCAGAACTCAAGATGGCTTACAATATAAATAAAGCAACTATAAAACCAAAATAAAACCAATATGAATAAACCAACAATGATAAAAACACATAAAAGGTCACAGTGTAAAAAAACGCCAACCTGGACTGCTAATCAATAAAAACTATTATCAGTCAAAATGGGGTCCTGAATAAAACTGTCTCCGAGTGCTTCCTAAGGATGGACGGGGAGGGGTCCTTCTGCACCTCCCTGGGGAGGCTGTTCCGTAATTGTGGGGCTGCCACCGAAAGGGCCCTCTCTCGCCATGTGCCCACCACAGCCTCTCCCCACGGTCTTAATTACTGGGCAGGAACGTGTGGGGGGAAATGTCCCAACAACCCACGTAGGGCTTTACCAACAGAATGAGATTCCAATTATTCAGAAGACAAGACCACGCCTCAGCTTCCAAGAGCAAATATCAGTACGATGGTTCATTCACACAGTGGCCAACCAGATGCCCTGGGAAGGCCTACGGGCAGGGAGCAGAGCCCAAATCCTACCTTCACTGTGACTTGCCCCGACTGGCCTTCAGAAGGTTACTGCCTCTGAACATGGAGGTTCTATTTAGTCACAAGAATGTAAGAAGAGCCCTGCTGGGTCAGACCAGTGAGGGTCCATCTAGTCCAGCCTCCTGTCTCACAAAGCGGCCAACCAGTTCCTCTGGAGGGCCAACAACAGGGCATATAGAGACTGAAACCTTCCCTTCATGAGAACCTAAGAAGAGCCCTGCTGGATCGGACCAGTGGTCCACCTAGTCCGGCATCCTGTCCCACACGGTGGCCAACCAGTTCATCATGGCTAATGGCCACTGACAGCTCTAGGCCCTTCACGGATCTGCCTAATTTCCTTTTAAAGCCAAACAAATGAGCAGCCATCCCTGCATCTGGCCGCAGTGAATTCCACAAGTGAGTGACTGAGTGAAGAGGCGCTTCCTTTCCCCCCCGTGGAATCTCCTGCCCATCCTACCGCTTACGGGCCCTGACCGCACCAATCCACAGCAGAACCCACAGAGCCAGAGGACTGCCGCTTCCCCGATTTCCACCTCTCCTTCACCTGTTTCTCAGGCCGGTGCCGTTGCCGCAGTTCCCACCAACCAACGTCTGAAGAGAAGGCAAAGCGGAACGGCTCAGCTGCTGCCGGCTGGGTCCCCTCCTTCCACCGGGCATGTCCAGGAACCGACCCACTTCTTGTGCCTCTGGCAGGCTTTGCCCAGAGACTTAGACGAGCACCCCGCAGACTTCCCAGCTCTGAAAAAAGGGGGAAAGACGGGCCGTCAGTTAAGGGAATTACGCCCGGGGCACCTGTTAAAGCAAAGCAAAGGATTTCAGACAACAACCTCAGATATGCAGACGATACCACTCTAATGGCAGAAAGTGAAGAGGACCTAAAGAGCCTCTTGCTCAGAGTAAAAGAGGAGAGCGCAAAAGTGGGCTTGAAGCTCAACATCAAAAAAACTAAGATTATGGCATCCGGCCCCATCACTCCTTGGCAAATAGAAGGGGAAGTCGTGGAAGTAGTGACAGACTTCACGTTCCTGGGATCCCAGATCACCACAGACTGTGACTGCAGCCATGAAATTAAAAGACGCCTGCTCCTTGGGAGAAAAGCGATGGTGAACCTAAACAGCTTGATAAAAAGCAGAGACATCACCCTGCCAACAAAAGTCCGCATGGTCAAAGCAATGGTATTTCCAGTAGTCATGTAGGGCTGCTTGAAGGTCAAAGAAGAAGGAGACGGCAAAGGATGAAATGGTTGGACAGTGTCATCGATGCAACGAACATGAAATTGAGCCAACTTCAGAGGGCGGCAGAAGACAGGAGGGCCTGGCGTGATCTGGTCCATGGGGTTGCGAAGAGTCGGACTCGACTGTGCGACTGAACAACAACAACCTAACCATAGTAACCAGCCGGCCAAGGACTAATTGAAGCGTGCCACTTCTGGCCTTTTATTTATTAAAACACTTATATCCCGCCTTTCCTTGTGGTTCAAGGCTGCTTACAATAATAAATACATTTCCAGTTCGAGGAGAAGGAGGAGGAGAGATTGGATTTATACCCCGCCCTTCACTACCTGAGGGAGTCTCAGAGCGGCTTAACAACTCCTGTCCCTACCCCTCAACAGACACCCTGTGAGGTAGGTGGGGTTGAGAGAGCTCTGTTGAGGACTGCTCCTGAGAGAATAGCTCTGTGAGAACTTGTGACTGACCCAAGGTCACACCAGCAGCCGCGAGTGGAGGTGTGGGGAATCAAACCTGGTTCTCCCAGATTAGAGTCTGAGCACTTAACCACGACACCAAACTGACGTCTTCCATTCAACCCCCCCCCCCAAAACCCCTTGTAACGTTGATGAGATAGAGACGTCTTACTTCACGGCTCAATATACAATGAAATTCACTTAACTTTTATTTCACTGATACTATCGAAAGGTCCCAAAATCTCTGAGGAAGAGATTAATAAACTCCTTTCTGATGAGAACACTGAGACTACTAAGAAAATAGCAAAATTTTGTGCTCAAGCGATAAAACTAAGTTCCCATCTATGTTTCTAAAGACATGGTGGGAACTTGATTTGCATAACTGTCCTATCAGAGTTTTAAATTTGTGCATTCAATTTTAGAATATTTTTAAGCATGCTATTGTTTTATTGTTTTCCTTATGTGTGGTAGTATTTATATACTGGCTGTGGGCCGTTAATAAAGACTGACTGACCGACCCTGAGAAACAAGGCAGGCCTTACAACACCTCCTCAAGATCTCTAGGGATGGAGACCATCACGCAGGAGTGTTCCCTCTAAGCCGAGCAATTGAGCAGCCGCTCAGTAACGCAGGGATTCTGGAGCGGCGCAACGTCACTGCCCACTACAGGACTACAGCTGCTATATTCCACTCAGTATGTCAACTGTTCCACTTAAGGGGGGGGGGGATTACTCTTTTAATATATTGTTTTATTTCCAAATTTCCCAACAAACAAATCACAAACAAAGCAATAAAGCTATTGAGGGGACACCGAAACCAGTTCGGAACCGTAACAGCAAACGCAAGGTAATTCAGGAACAGGGATTGATAACAATGAGAAAAAGAAGTTCAAAAGTGCAACATTTCTAAAAAGCCCTTGCCAAGTGAAGACAGAACAGAATTCTGACTAGACATGTTCAAACATTTAACCGTCACAGCTTTACAGGGCGGCTTTGCCAACAGCATGCATTCTCGGTTACACATAACGACGTTTTAATAGCAATGCAACAGGGAAGTCAAAAATAAATGAGGTCATGATAAAACTTATTTTTTGGAAGGATATCATTATTAGTTAGATAGGAGACTATTGGCAACCAAAGAGCAATACATTTTCCCTGACGACGTTCCGTTTGAGCACTAGAATGAAATGCATAAAGTTTACCCGGCAGAAAGCAATCCCATAGCCGAGTTCTCCAGGCTTCTATGGAAGGCACTGAGTTGTTTTTCCAGTGTACGGAGGTAGGTGGGGCTGAGAGAGCTCTTTCGAGAACTGCCCTTGAGAGAACAGCTCTGAGAGGACTTGTGACTGACCCAAGGTCATGCCAGCAGCTGCATGTGGAGGAGGAGTGGGGAATCAAACCCAGTTCTCCCAGATTAGAGTCCGCGCTCTTAACCACTACACCAAAGCCATGATGGGAAAAGCCTGGGTTTAGGTCGATATCCAACGGGCCACGCTGAGTGGTGAGATAGCCAACAGATGCCATAGCAACTGCATTTGTGCAACTTCAATTTTGTACTGGGGTGGGAGGTTGGGTCATGGATGGCGGCTTTCCGGGATGGGTATGTTGCCAGCTGTCCTTTAGCATGCGCTTGTGTCCAGCTGCCGATCCATTCACACAGCTGTGGATTGGCCGGCTGCCGTTTCCTGTTGGTATTACTTGGTGCCAGGTCTATGCCAAATAGGACTGCAGTGCCTGGGCTTGCCAACAGGCCTGGAGAAAGACGTTCTGTCCCTTTAACATGTGGAAGCACCTGATTCTTTTCAAGGCATGGAAGTAAATAACATCACTAGGGAAATAACACCCTCTTAAACCTCTAATTAAAGGGACGGGACACTTTTCTCCAGGCTTGTGGGCAATTTTGGCACTGCCCCGTGGCCAGCTAGAGAGAAGCATGCAGACCAGAGACATTGGGCTGAAACCTGGCTGGCTGATCGTGTTGCTGTTCAGTCGAGTCCGACTCTTTGCGACCTCATGGACCACATCACGCCAGGCCCTCCTGTCTTCCGTTGTCCTCCAGACTTTAATTTCATGTTCGTTGCATCGATGACACTGTCTAACCATCTCATCCTTTGCCGTCCCCGTCTTCTTTGACCTTCAATCTTTCCCAGCATCAGGGTCTTCTCCAGTGAGTGCTCCCTTCTCATTGGGTGGCCAAAGTATTTGAGCTTCAGTTTCATCATCTGGCCTTCCAGGGAACAGTCAGGGTTGATTTCCTTTAGGACTGACTGATTTGATCTTCTTGCAGTCCAAGGGACTCTCAAGAGTTTTCTCCAGCACCATAGTTCAAAAGAATCTATTCTTTGGTGCTCGGCCTTCCTTATGGTCCAACCTGGTTTTGGTCGGGGCCATCGAATCCATTCTATCAGCTGAAAGATCCTAAAATGCACACTCACAGTTCTTCAGGGACCCCAGAAAGGATGGGCAACTGGCAAGTGATCCTGTACCTGAAATTTCTAACCGGACGATTGAAGCACCGAAGGGCTGATCGTAGCAATCCTTTATTGCCTCAGCACTAGGTGGATACAGGGCCCTTCATCAGCCTCAAAGGGGAACTATGGGGCGGAGCTTAGCTGGTTCTCCAATGGTCTCTCTTCTCCTGCATGCCCCCGTGTATGCAAAGGAAATCCAATCTTGAGACTACATGTTTTATATGGGGGACCAGTCACGGGTTTGGACTCTCACTGCCTCACCGGGAGGTGCCCCGGCTGAGTTGGCCACAGGCCTGTAGCCAGGATTTCTTAAATAGGGGGGCACTGAAATTCGTGGCCTCCACCCTGCTTCTCCCTCAAAGCTTTTAAAGGGACCCCTTAAATCAGTGGCGGCGAACCTATGGCACGCGTGCCAGAGGCAGCACTCGGAGCCCTCTCAGTGGGCATGCGTGCCATCGCCCCAGCCAGGCCCAGACCATCATTAAAGTGTCGAATTCTCTGCCAAATAATTTTAAGTAAATGAAAGCATTTGTAAGTAAATGAAAGCATTACTTACTTTGTTTGGATCATCTTATGTTAATGTATGAGTTGTTTTTTCTAAAGTAAAACCTCAGTATTCAGGTTAAATTGCCATGTTGGCACTTTGCAATAAATAAGTGGGTTTTGGGTCGCAGTTTGGGCACTCGGTCTCTAAAAGGTTCACCATCACTGCCTTAAATGCTTTGGGGGAGAACTGGGGGCCACGCGCCTGCATGCCAAGCTGCAAATTCGTGGCTTGGAGGGCAGGCGCACGTGGCCTCCCTCCCACTTCTTCCCAAAAATGGGGGGGGGGGCTTGGGAGGAAATTGGGGAGGCTGGGCCCCAGGCCCCCCCACTGTAGCTATGGGCCTGGTTGGCCATAGTGGTCAAAGATCTGGTGCTGGAGACACTTTACCCTGAGGTCTCCTTATCAAGCTGTACTCATGCCTCGTGACCACTATGGGACTGTCTCAGGTTGTACTCAGCCCAATATATGAAGTACGCACTTACATTGGATTTATATATCTGCACTGAGCAGTGTTTTGGCAATCTGTTACTGGATTGATTCTGGCCTCAGACGCTTAAGGATCCTATTTATTTATTTTAAAGGCTTCCGATTCCCATCTTTCCAAATGATGGATGGAAAGTGCCGTCAAGTTGCAACTGACTTACACCAACCCCGTTGTGGGGTTTTCAAGGCAAGAGACTTTCAGAGGTGGTTTGCCCTTGCCTGCCCCGGTGAAGCAAACCTGGGCTTCCTCGGTGGTCCCCCATCCATGTACTAACCAGGGCCGACCCCGCTCAGCTTCCGAGATATGACGAGACGGGGCTAGTCTGGTCTGGCTTTCTAACGCGGCATAACAAATTCACCCTGCACATCTCTCAGGAAAACCTTAAAGCCGAACTGGAGGTTACATTAAAAACAATTAAAGCCACTGCAGAAAGTAATAAAGACAGCCATGAATTCAAGAAAACTGAAGCAGTCATTGAAATATGTAAAAATACAACCTGGCAGCTCGTATGGGGGACTAAAACCTGGTTGGGAGCGAACGAGAACAT